GACGCTCCATCCACTGAGCCAAACCGGTTTCGGCTGTGTGTGTGTGTGTGTGTGTGTGTGTGTGTGTGTGTGTATATATATATATATATATATATATATATATATATATATATTTTTTTTTTTTTTTATTTTTTTTTTTTAAAGGAATTCAGAGTTTGAATATTTCTCCCAGGCCATTTCACCATGGGAGACTCACATTACCCAATGGGGTCTCTGTCTCAGAGTCTCAGCATTGCCTGCACCACACACATTCTGCTGACTCGCAGCCACTCGTTTACATCTCAAACTTCCTCTGACCACGCAGATTGGATGGGCCCTTCTGCTCTACATTCTCCTCTCAGCCCCGTTTCCTTCCATAGGACTTTGTCACAGGGTGTGGTAAGATACCCGTGGATGTACCTTCTCCAGGGGCAGAGACCATGTCCATTTCCCCTCATGTTCGTCTACCTGTGAGGGTTTGGAATGAATGAACGTTGCCAGGTGTGCTTTATGAAACACACCCGTCAGGAGAACAGCAGCCAGGCACGGTCATGCTGTTGGGTTCCCTCGTCGCAGGGCACAGAAGAGTAACTCTACGGTAGCTGATTTCCCAACTCGGTAAATGATCGAAAGCCCAGTGAGGCATTTCAGAGGTGTGCTGAGCTCACCTGGTACAGCGCAGCTGCCCTAGGCAATGCCAGCTGGGAACAGCTGGAGCCGCGCTCCTGGGGCAGCCTCGTTCATTGTCAGGAGTCCCCTGTCTGTTTTCAAGACTGAAATACAGATGCAGTCATGGGGCTCGTGCCAGTCAAGGCTAAGGCCAGGTACGTCGGCCAACCGTGGGCTACAGCAGTGTTGCGTTTCCTGCCCCACCAGCAGGGCCTAGAGAAACCCCTGGCTCGTTGCAAACACTCAGAAGATCCCTGAACCAATGAGACCCTTCAGGCGGGTCCCCTCGGCAGCAGAATAGCTGTCACGCCGCTCACCGGCTGCACAGACTGGCTGTACAGGCGTCTTCCCAGGCAGATTTACTGTGTCTCCTGTTTGACTGTTAAAAGTCTAAGACATCTGCGCTTCAGTCCCGAGGCTGTTCACGGGCCTGTGAACGCAAAGGGCAAAGGAGAGTGGAGGGATCAGCTCACTGAGTCTCCAGAGAGGACCATTGATTCTTTTCAATTAAAAATGTTTCTTCTAGCCCTCATCGGTTTGGTTCAGTGGATAGAGCGTCGGCCTGCAGACAGAAGGGTCCCAGGTTCGATTCCGGTCAGGGGCATGTACCTTGGTTGCAGGCACATACCCAGTAGGGAGTGTGCAGGAGGCAGCTGATCAATGTTTCTCTCTCATGGATGTTTCTAACTAGGTATCCCTCTCGCTTCCTCTCTGTAAAAAATAAATAAAATATGGGTGTGTTTTTTAAGTGTTTCTTCTTATGTTCAGCTGGCATGGTTCAGTTGAGTGTCAACCTATGAACCAAGAAATCACAGTTCGATTCCTGGTCAGGGCACATGCCCAGGTTGCGGGCTCAATCCCCAGTGAGGGGGCATGTGGGAGGGACCTGATCGATGACTGTCTTTCATCGTCGATGTTTCTATTTCTCCCTCTCCCGTCCTCTTTGAAATCAGTGAAAAAAAAGAAAAAATGTTTTTTAAAAAAATGTTTCTTCTTAGATAGATATTTGGTACCTTTCAGGCGCAAGCACTCTCATTGCATAGCACAAGGCAATAATGGAAATCTGTTTGTGATGACCCTGGGCCGTCAAAAGGGTTGGCTGTGTTGGGAACACTGTACTTAATGGTAAAAGGGAGAAACCTACAGAAAGCGCATTCAGCAGAGCTCATTATCCTATTGTTCAGGACGGAGGTTTGGAGTAGAGACTTTGCCGGACACTGAACAATAGGAATCTTTAGCTTGATAAAGGGTATTCACCACCTACTCATAACAGACATTGTACGAATGGAAAACATCCAAGTGAACAATGGCGTCGAGTAAAATAAGGGTGCTCGCTGTCACTTGTGTTCTGGAAGATGGTTCTGGAGATTCTAGTTATTGCAGTTGTACACGAAAAGAAACAGGTTTAAGTATTGGAAAGCACCCAAAGTTCCCTTCATTATCACGGGTACCGTACGTAGTCAGATACTGCTAGGACAGTGGTCGGCAAACCGCGGCTCTCGAGCCACATGCGGCTCTTTGGCCCCTTGAGTGTGGCTCTTCCACAAACTACCACGGCCAGGGCGAGTCTATTTTGAAGAAGTGGCGTTAGAAGAAGTTGAAGTTTAAAAAATGTGGCTCTCTAAAGAAATTCCAATCGTTGTCCTGTTGATACTTGGCTCTGTGGGCTAATGAGTTTGCCGACCCCTGGCCTAGGATGCTGCCTTCCCTCCAGCTTTTCCGGTCTCTCTGCAGCGTGGCCTTCCCTGAGACTTCCTGCTGCAAGGGCCTGCCTCCCTGTTACGGTCCCTTCTCGCCTTCTGTTTGCCTTTGTGGCATTTCTTTCCTATCTGTATTAATCCAAATACTTCTCCCCACCGACTTCACCTCGAGTTTGTGCCCCGTTCTGTCCCTGGGGCCTGGAAGCTGGAAGCACCGGTTAGGTGCTCTCAGTTGCTCTCAGTGGCCAACCAAAGGAGTGAAAGCTCCGCCCCTCGTGTTGTGATTAAAAGCACTCTAGTACTCTGTTCCCTATACAACAGAAATGCAGTCCTTTGTCCCCAGTGTTTTTCAACCTTTTTTGGGCAAAGGCACACTTGTTTCATGAAAAAAATCACGAGGCACACCACCATTAGAAAATGTTAAAAAATTTAACTCTGTGCCTATATTGACTATATATAAAGTAATTCTCTTGAATAGGAATCAAATAAACACAAAGAAAGTATTTTATAATTACTTTATTATGAAATATTAAGTAAACAAAATAGTGAAAAATTATAAAATTCTTGTCTTGTCTGCACCTACGGCACACCAGGCAACGGTGTGCCGCGGAACAGTGGTTGAAAAACGCTGCCCTATACAACAGAAATGCAGTCCTTTGTCCCCAGCCGCTCAGCAAGCTGGCACTTGCAGCCAGAGCCCGTCCTGGGCCCCCGAGGCTGCCTCCTGGGAGGTATGGTTTAGATACTAACTCTTCCCTTTTCGTTTTTCCTATTGTTTTGCTGTTTTTGCTTTGTCTCTTGTTTTGTTGGATGCTAACTTTTCACGGCTCAGGAATAAAGTCCTCCTGGTCCTTGGAAGGCGCTGGGATGTGAGAGGCGTCCCTCGCTCTGGCCTTCCTGAGTTCGGGACTCGAGGTGCCTGGGATTTAGGCCAGTTTCTTCCCCTCGATGAGGTCCCCCTGTCGCGGTGACTGGGTTTGGCTCTGGGTTTGGTCTTGCTCCTCAGCAGTGGCGAAGCGTGGACGGCTGCCGCTGGATAGACCTGAGGCTCGTGTTAGCACGCTGAGGGCCGCGCCGGTCTCGCCCTGCCTCCCCTCTGACAGCTCTCAGGCCATCTGTGAGGGGGGCGGCCTAGCAGGTGCCAAATCCTTAGTGGTTCGTCCCCTGAGAGCCGATCAGTCCCAGGTCCACCTCAAGTGAGCCTGCAGTCTTGTTCCCTGGACGGGTATCAAGTGAGCAAATGCTAGCCACAGATGAGTGTTGTTTTGCCCCTTATGATGTTTTGTTTGTTTGTTTTTTAATATATTTTTATTGATTTCAGAGAAGGGAAATGGAGAGAGAGAGAGAAACATCAATGACGAGGGAGAATCATTGATTGACTGCCTCCTGTAGCACCCCCCTATCAGGGATCGAGCCCACAACCCAGGCATGTGCCCTCGACCAGAATCAAACCCGTGACTCTTCAGTCCTCAGGCTGACGCTTTGTACACTGAGCCAAACCAGCTAGGTCCCCTCATGGTGTTTTAAAACTCTTGTAAGTGCCAACATTTAAAAGTCAAGATGATCCCCCTACCAGCGTGGCGCGGTGGCTAAGTGTCGGCCTGTGAACCAGGAGGTCACAATTCGATTCTCAGTCAGGGCACGTGCCCAGGTTGTGGGCTCGATCCCCAGTGGGGGGCATGCAGGCGGCGGCCAGTCAATGATTCTCTCTGTTTCTGTCTCTTTCTCTCCCTCTCCCTTCCTCTCTGAAGTCAATAAAAATATACTTTAAAAAAATAAATAAAAATAGCCGAAACCGGTTTGGCTCAGTAGTAGAGCGTTGGTCTGCGGACTGAAAGGTCCCAGGTTCGATTCCGGTCAAGGGTATATTCCTTGGTTGCGGGCACATCCCCAGTAGGGGGTGTGCAAGAGGCAGCTGGTTGATGTCTCTCTCTCATTGACGTTTCTAGCTCTCTATCTCTCTCACTTCTTCTCTGTAAAATAAAAATAATAATAAAATAAAATAAAATAAAATATATTTTTTAAAAATATTTAAAAATAAATAAAAAATAAATAAAAATAAAAGTCAAGATGACCATGTAGAAACTTGAGTTTCTGTCTCTCTCCCTCCCCCCCCCCACCCCCCAGTTGGGGATTGGAGCTGAGAAGAAATTGGTCCTTAAAACAAAAGTTTTTTTTGTGGGTTTTTTTTTTTTTTTTTTTCCAAAACCGGTTTGGCTCAGTGGATAGAGCATTGGCCTGCAGACTGAAAGGTCCCAGGTTCCATTCCGATCAAGGGCACATCCCCAGTAGGGGGTGTGCAGGAGGCAGTTGATCAATGTTTCTAACTCTCTATCCCTCTCCCATTCTTTCTGTAAAAAATCAATAAAACATATTATAAAAAAAAACACAAAAAAAAACCAAGACCGTTTTTCTTGGTTGCCAGGGTCTCTACCCAGCCTACTATGTTCATTTATATTGTACTTTCCTGGCCTTTGTAGGCATGTAAGTTAGTTTGTAATCCCTATTATACTTTTAAAAGTCATGTATGTGTGTGTGTGTAGCTGAAAGATGTCACTGACACTCGGTAATGATTTTTTCCCCCTCTGTCTTCTTCTTTTTCTTTACTTTCTCCTTCCTCCTTCTTGCCCCACTGCCTCCATCACTTCACAGATCCTGGGACTGCTGGTATGGACACTCATCGCCGGGACGGAGTACTTCCGGGTCCCCGCCTTCGGCTGGGTCATGTTTGTCGCCGTGTTTTACTGGGTCCTCACCGTCTTCTTCCTCATCCTCTACATAACGATGACCTACACCAGGATCCCCCAGGTGCCCTGGACAACCGTGGTAAGGGAGCCGGGCATGCTTCGGGCCCATGGCCCACTAGGGAGGATGGTCCTCCATTGGTCGATTCTGCTTTTTTTTTTAATTTCTTTATTGATTAAGATATCACATATTTGTCCTCATCTCCCCATTCCCATCCTCCGCCCCCTATTGTCCTTGACCACAGGTTAGGCTCATATGTATGCACACAAGTCCTTTGGTTGATCTCTCCCTTTTAGCCCCACCCTCCCTCTGAGGTCCAACCGTCTGGCCCATGGCTCCTTGTCTCTGGGTCTGTTCTTGTTCCTCAGTCCACGTTGTTCACCATTTCTCCCAGATGAGTGAGGTCATGTCCTGCTGGAAATACCCTTATGAGAACCGAAAATGAGACAAGCAATCATGGTTATGCTGAAAGGCAAATGACTCAGTCTGTAGTGAGCTTCTTTCTGGGCCAACGGTTCTGAAATGAGACCCAATTTCCATGTCAAACAGTTCCCCCATGTGTACACGTCAGCAATGATATTTCAGTTCTGGATGGTGGGCACATGGTGGTAATGCAGGTCCGACCCTCTCTGGTTTGGTCCTGGGCAACCTGCAGTGACGCCCAGCAGCTGACTGCTGTTATGGCACGGTTCTGCGTGTTTAAGAACTTGCAGTGGCCTGACGAGCTGACTTAAAGGCCCTCCCTGCCTAGAGCAAGGGGCCTGCTTTGAGCCTGCACTCTCCAGGGTGGGGCTCCTGCTGGGGGGGGAGGGTGGCCGAGGGCTGAGGCCCTTCTCACTAGCCAGTACGTCGCCATGGCTGAATTGGATGAAATGAGGATCAAGAGCAAACTGCAGGAGCCTGGGTGTGTTGGGGGGAAAGGAGGGGTGTCTGGGTGCAATGTGAAGGAGATGATATAAAACCCAACCCCTCCCCCAAAACACGGGGGAGCTGCCTTCTCAGAGCCCCTGTCCTCACGTGTCCAGAGGAGCAACCTTCCCACAGCCGGGGGTGCAGTCAGTCCCGCCCAGTTCGGAGCTCCGGAGGCGCCCAGACCTCCCCACGCTCCCTGAACACACCGGCGTCTGTCTCCCCAGGGCCTGTGCTTTAACGGCAGCGCCTTCGTCCTGTACCTCTCGGCCGCGATCGTGGATGCCTCGTCCGTCGCCCCCGAGAGGGACGGCCACAACTTCAACAGCTGGGCGGCCTCCTCGGTGAGTGGGCCCCCTCCTCCCTCCAGGGGTCGGGAGGAGGCCGGAAAAGGCGCCACCTGCCGCCGGACACACTGGCAATTAGCTGACTGGTTTGCAAGCATATTAAATCGGTGAGGCGGTGCTTGCGTGAAAGCCAAATGGCTGGAATCAAAAAAGGGAGAAAAAAGTATGCGAGGCATTCCAAGAATCGTCCTACCGACTGCAGTTCCGTGGGGAGAGACTTTGCAGAAAATGAGCCCGCTGCGGTTCTCTTTGTTTGGCTTTTAAGTAGGAATGTCTGTGGATGCCTTGAGGATGCATGAAAAATAAACATACACCCACAAAGAAGGCTCCTTTCGGGGCCTGTGACTGGGTGATGAGTGTGGCATGAGGGGCCTCTTTTTTTTTTTTTTTTTAATATATTTTATTGATTTTTTACAGAGAGGAAGGGAGAGGGATAGAGAGTTAGAAACATCAATGAGAGAGATGCATCGACCAGCTGCCTCCTGCACACCCCCCACCGGGGATGTGCCCACAACCAAGGAACATGCCCTTGACTGGAATCGAACCTGGGACCTTTTAGTCAGTCCGCAGACCGACGCTCTATCCACTGAGCCAAACCAGCTAGGGCTGTACAGTGTGCAGTTTTAAACCAGTAAGTGTGTATTTTTTTTTCATTTAAAAACTTCCTTTTGAAAGTTTGTCTAGTAACTGACCTTAAAATATCCCACCCGCGAAAGAGGTGTTGGTGGGGGGAGCAGGGGAGGGCCAGAGGGGTCACGTTACAGCTGGTCGATGGTACGTGGGTGATCCTTGTATTCTTCACCCACGTTTCCAAATGGCGGGGGAAAGGGAGAAAGCCCGGGGCCCACGAGGTTAAACACCACGCCGAGGCGGCCCCGGGCTCGTGGCGTGACTCTGCCCAACTGGGTGGAGGTTGGTTGCTCCAACTCACCATTCACACCGCACCACTCCCAGGGCTCATCCCTTCCTCCTGCTGCCCGACCCACTCACGGTAACTGAGCCCGTGGGAATCCGAGGGTAACCTGGGTCTAAAATGGCCCATATAGCCGAAACCGGTTTGGCTCAATGGATAGAGCGTTGGCTTGGGGACTGAAGGGACCCGGGTTCGATTCCGGTCAAGGGCATGTACCTTGGTTGCGGGCACATCCCCAGTAGGGGGTGTGCAAGAGGCAGCTGATCGATGACTCTCTCTCATCGATGTTTCTAACTATCTCTCTCCCTTCCTCTTTGTACAAAATCAATAAAAAATATATTTTTTAAATGGCCCATACAGTAGTCCCCATGGTTTTACTTTCTGCAGTGTGTCATCCCCACAGTCAACCACGGTCCAAAAAAAAACCTTAAATAAAGAATCCCAGAAATAAACAATTCGTATGTTTTAAACCGCACACCATTCTGAGTATCATCGTGGAATGTTACACCATCCCACTCTCTCCTGCCCAGAATATGAATCATCCTTTTGTCCCTCATGTAAGCTCCCTGCCCCTTAGCAGCCTTCTTGGTTATCAGGTCAAGAGAGAGAGACAGAGAGACAGAGAAAGATATATCACATTCACGTAACTTTTATTACAGAATGCTGTTGGAATTGTTCCATTTTTATGATCGGTTACTATTATTAACCTCTTACTGGGCCTAACTTACAAAGTAAACTCTGATAGGTGTATATGTGTAGGGAAAAGCATAGTGTATATTGGGTTTGTGCCATCCACAATTTCCAGCATCCCCTGGGTATCTTGGAATGTATCCCCTGCAGAGAAGGGGGAACTACTGTACAGAATTGGAAATACCAGGTGCTTTTCTCAGATGCACACCACCATATTCGCCCCTAAGTGAGTCACACCCCAGGGTTATTTGAGCAAAACGGTAAACTTTCCAGATATGCTCCAATAATAATAATAATAAATAATAATAATAATAATAATAAAATAATAGAGACAGAAATCATTTCAGAAGGAAAGTGATTGAACCAGGAAAGCCTGGAGTCAAGGAATGCTGTGGGTGCATGATCCAATGGAGGTGAAAGGATAGCGTTTGCTGATTACAACGTGCCCTAAACCCCGTGTCTATTCTGCTTTGTTCTCTCCAGTTCTTCGCCTTCCTAGTCACCATCTGCTACGCTGGGAACACGTATTTCAGTTTCATAGCGTGGAGATCCAGGACCGTCCAGTGATGAGCCATTTTGAGAATTATGAGGGCGGGGTGCAGAGGGAGGAAGCCTCTCTCTGTAAAAACAGCTGTAGGTATACTGTACATTTCCAGAGAATTGTATTTAACTAATGTTTTTATATACTTAGTTAAATTTTGCTCACTGTGGTTTGTTACCATGAAACGGGGCTCTTATTTGCAAAGAGCTCTATAGAGTGTAATGACCTCTTCAAGATCTTGTCAGGTGTCTTCCTAGACTGTTATTATTATTATTATTATTATTATTATTATTTTCTTAGATGATGTGTACATGGATAACATGCTAACATGAAGAATGTGTCAAGTTTGTAAAATTTTAACTTTTAAAATGCCACATTTTTTTTTTTTCGATTAAATGTTTCAAAATCTTGGATGATGTTGTGTTGATTTGGGGAAGGAGACAAAGGTGGACTGCTCTCCTCCATCCTCTCAGGGCTGTCCAGGTATGATATGGCTAGGAGACACTTGTCCATGGCCGCTAGGCTGGGGGGGCAGGAGAGAGCCATCTCCCCAGTTCTGGGGATCGTTGGTGTCTCTCACAGGCCCAGAGAGCACCGAAGGAGACACTGGCCTGGGCGTGCGGCTGAGTCCAGTGAGTAATGTGTGAGTGGTACTCTTGCTCCTGATACCTATTAAAAATCAGCGCATAGCCATTAAAAGGATAAATACTCACATGTACCTTCAGGTCCTCTTGCTGGCCAGTGACACATGGACCGTATTTTGTGGGAAATAGCAGACTGGAAGCTCTCGCCTCCAATCTCCAGCACTTCTGCTTTCCTCCTCCTCCTCCTTCTCCTCCTCCTCCTCCTCTTCTTCTTCTAAAAACATATTTTATTGATTTTTCACAGAGAGGAAGAGAGAGGGATAGAGAGTTAGAAACATCGATAAGACAGAAACATCGATTAGCTGCCTCCTGCACCACCACCCCCCACACACACACACAAACACACACACCCTGGGGATGTGCCCGCAACCAAGGTACATGCCCTTGACCGGAATCGAACCTGGAACCCTTCAATCCGCAGGTCGACGCTCTATCCACTGAGCCAAACCGGTTCCGGCATTTTTCTTCTTTTTTAATATATATATTTTTATTGATTTCGGAGAGAAAGGGAGAGGGGGAGAGAGAGCTAGAAACATGAATGATAAGAGAGAATCCTTGATCGGCTGCCTCCTGCACACCCCACAATGGGATCAAGCCTGGGACCCTTCAGTCCACAGGCTGACTGACACTATCCACTGAGCCGAACGGGCTGGGGCTCCAGCACATGTGGATGCTCGATATTGTCCGCCACAAGGCAGATGTGCCCTGAGAGGAAGTGCTCTTCGGCGGGAGGGCTCTTGCTGCCGAAGTGTATCTCGGGTGATTTTTCAACACGAGCTGCTTGTGAAAAACAAAAAACCACAGAAACGTTAGTGGAGTGGATGACAGTGGAGCGGGTTTCAGCCACATTCCCGCTCTGCAGACGTGACCCTGGGACCTCTGCTCTTCTGCTCTCTGTTAACAGAGCTGTTGCTTTCTGTTTGTGCTATTTTTACATATATTTTTTTAAATATATATTTTATTGATTTTGTACAGGAGGAAGGGAGAGAGAGAGAGAGTCAGAAACATCGATGAGAGAGAGTCATCGACCAGCTGCCTCTTGCACACCCCCTACTGGGGATATGCCCACAACCAAGGTACGTGCCCTTGACCAGAATCGAACCCGGGACCCTTCAGTTCCCAAGCCAACGCTCTATCCACTGAGCCAAACTGGTTTCGGCTATTTTTACATATTTAAAAAAAATTGATTACAGGGAGGAAGGGAGAGGGAGATGGAAACATCCATGATGAGCGAGGATCATTCATTGGCTGCCTCCTGCACGCCCCACCCTGAGGATCAAGCCCTCAACCCGGGCACGGGCCCTGGCCGGGAATTGGAGCGGCGACCTCTTGGTTCCTGGGTCGATGCTCAGCCGCTGAGCGACACCAGCCGGGCTGCTTTCTGTTGTCTGTTGTCTGTGTTGCTCTTCCTACTTAACCTGATCCTAATCCCGTATCCAGGTCCCGCTGACCCCTAGAGAGGAGAGGTGGGATTTCTTCAGTGTCTAGTAACACCCACCCAGGCTTTTGGAGGAACCAGTGAAAAATGTTCCTGAGCTGTGGGTCCAAAGAGGTCATGGGCAGGGGGCACCACCCATGAGAGGTGGGGTAGGGTACGGATGTGTGGGGATGGGTGGGTGTTGGGTAAGGTGACCAGACGTCCCGCTTTTGGTTAAAACAGTCCCGATTTTTGGACTTAAAAAATTTAAATTTAAATTTAAAAATTTTGGATTTAAAAAATGGGGACTTTTTTAAAATGCCGCGGAACGTGGGACAAATGGTTAAAAATCGGGACGTCTGGTCACCTTAGTGTTGGGGACACAGGAGGCCACTCTGAGTGCAACATCGAGCCAGCCATGACGGTTGAGCTTTAGCGACGCAGATCCATAGGTGACCGGGGCTGCGATCGTTTTGGAGCTGTGTCCCCCGTCATGGCCGGGACAGCCTGTGGTTCATTCATTTCACAAGGAAAGCAGAAATAACTCATCAGAGTGTGTGTGCTCTGCTCTGTTCATCTCTCACACAGAGGCATATTCATCTTCTCTGTGCTTTTTAAGTACTTAATGTTTTAAAATTTTTTATTAGGCCCTGACTGGTTTGGCTCAGTGGATAGAGCATCGGCCTGCGAACTGAAAGGTCTCAGATTCCATTCAGGTCAAGGGCGTGTACCTGGGTTGCGGGCACATCCCCAGTAGGAGGTGTGCAGAAGGCAGCTGATGGATGTTTCTCTCTCATCGATGTTTCTAACTATCCCTCTCTCTTTCTCTCCGTAAAAAAAATCAATAAAATGTATATTTTTAAAATTTTTATTGGGGTGACATTAGTCAACATGAACGTATAGGTTTCATGTGTGGATTACTAATTTACAAAGTCTGTATAATAGGACCATTGCAGTCAAGTCTCCATAAAAGGCAGAAAAACTAACCTACAAAGATCTGTTTCTGGAAAACAGTCATAAAGAAAGAAGTCTGCTTTTATGTCTCTCTCTCTCTCTCTCTCTCTCTCTCTCTCTCTCTCTCTCCCCCTCCCCCTCCCCCTCCCCTTTCTCCCCATGTGAGTGTGATTCTATGATCCTGCCTGCAACTTCTGGAGTAAAAAGTTCCATAAACCACTTAGAAATGTCTTCCAAATGGACTACAACACTAGTTCTTTCTTGAACCGGTAGCACCAGACACACCTGATCCAGGAGAACAATGACTCCCTGTGTCCCGGCAGGGTCACTTGCTGTCTTGTCCTCATTTGTGGTTTTTAAGGAGCATGGCCCTTTGTGTTGTCCTGAAAGTTCACCAAAACACAAAACAAAACAAAACAAAAAAACAGCACTTATTTTTAACTGAAAGGAAATTATTATTTCCTCTTTTGAATACGACTTTGTTCAAAGAATAATTTTTTAAATGAGGCCTTTTGGACAACAGACTGAGTCGCTCTAGTTCAGACCAAGCTGTTAGTTTCTAACTGGGTTTGCATTAATTTTTCTCTTAAAAAAGAAGAAAAAAATAAAAACCAAGCCACATGTGGCACGACCAGCATAATGAGAGGAATCAGTTTCTGGGTTTAAAAAAAAAAACATGAAAATAGAGGTAGTAAGTACTAAAGAGCTGTCTACATGCACCAAGCAGCCCTTTCAAACCAGCACTGTTTCTCTGATGGAGTTGGGTGGGGTTTTTTATTTAATGTACTTGACCTACTTATGGCCCATCAATGAAATGCTTTAGGCACTTCATCCCTCTCCATTGCTATTTCCATCGCATAGCCCCCAAAGATAAATATTTAGACAATATTTGAAAGCTACAAGAGAAGCCAGAGACAAAAATGTTCAACATCAATTATTTTTTTGTCTATTTTTTAAATTGCTTCCTTCCTAGGGAAATCCCTTCAGGGTATCAGCACACTAAAGATTTAAAATACATAAAGTATTTCTGCGAAGAACAGAGTTAAAAAAAAACTAACTGAAAATGCGGCCCTGGGTAGGAAAAAATCCACTCAGAGTTTATATTTCTGTCCCCTAGTTTATATTTCTGTCCCCTAGTGGTTGGCAAACTGTGGCTCAAGAGTTTGGCCCCTTGAGTGTGGCTCTTCCACAAAATACCACAGCCTGGGCGAGTCTATTTTGAAGAAGTGGCATTCGAAGAAGTTGAAGTTTAAAATATTTGGCTCTTGACAAAACCAGTTTGGCTCAGTGGATAGAGTGTCGGCCTGTGGACTGAAGGATCCTGGGTTCGATTCCGGTCAAGGGCATGTACCTTGGTTGCGGGCACATCCCCAGTAGGGGGTGTGCAAGAAGCAGCTGATGGATGTCTTTCTCTCATCGATGTTTCTAACTATCTCTCTCCCTTCCTCTCTGTAAAAAATCAATAAAAATATATTTTTAAAAATTTTTTTAAAAATATTTGGCTCTCAAAAGAAATTTTAGTCGTTGTCCTGTTGATATTTGGCTCTTTTGACTAATGAGTTTTGCTGCCCAATGCCCTAGACAATTATTTTTGTTGAAAGATGATTTTTCACAGAAAAAAAAATGACCTGGGCCGGTAAGGCTAGTTTCCCACACAGACACTGAAAGGTGGCAATCTGAGAAACGTTTGTGAACTGAGTTTCACGTAAGTTCTCCTGGCGAAGTTCTGCCCAAGGTGAATCGCAAGCCCACAGCTGTGAAGGAAGGTCAGATAAAGGTCCCAGTGTTGATGACTTAGGACAACAGCCAAAATTCAACTACGGATTGTTGTTAGGGAGTACGTAAATGTAGGTGTTTGGCGTCTATGTAAAAGAAGGCAGGGTTTGGGGGAAAGTGCTTGGCAAACACAGAGGTAATGAATAGCGAGTGGCAAACAAGTTGTTTACCGAGGCGACATTTCACTTAGAAGGTATGTTTTGAGTAACCATGTCACAAGCAGTTTTTTTAAATAGAATACTCAGAATAACAGCATCCAGAACGGAGCAGACTTTATCTTGCCCACCTCTCTTCTCCCTCCTCCTGTCACCTAACTACCCTCTTTTATTGGGGATCAACACCACCTACATAAGACCCAGCTTCTTGGGGAAGCTAACTCCAATGTGACTCTAGGAATGGACCATGGGGCTCTGCCTAAAGAATCCCACCTCCTGGCCATACCGATTGGTTCAAGGATGGGATGTTGAACCCAAGACTTGCTCTGGAGTTCTGGAAAAGAAGTTCTGTAGGACCTACTAGGATGTAGGCAGGAAGTTGTTGGCAAAAACTATATTGTAACCACAAGGGGGAGCCAGTCGTAGGATGGAGGTGACAAAGGAAAAGAGATGAAACATCACCATGATTAAGTCCCGGAGCCACTGAAAGCATTCAGCCCTGAGTGCAGGCACATTCTGGACTTTGCAATGATAGGAGCAATTAATTATATGCACTTGGGTTAACGAATGTCTGTTACTTGCAACAGTGGGTATCCTAAACAACACCCAGAGCACTCTGGCAAGTGGCTTTCAAGCAAAGGCATAAGATCTTGGTTCTGGTTTTCTTCCCAATAGTAAGCCACCAAAGGGCCTCAGGCAGATGGCAGGAATGACAGGACAAATGGACTTGTAGCACCAGGGTCATTGTCAGGAGAAGGGTAGAAAAGGGAACGTTTGAGAGGCCACTTGAGAGGTGACTCAAGCCTCTTGCTGAGGCTGTTGCTTAAGGCTGGCTGTTGCTTACGGCTGGCGATAGCCTGGGAAGGCCCCAGAAAGAGAAGCAGCTGGAAGGATGAATTCTCAAAGAAGTTTTCATGACCTGAGTGTGAAGAAGGGACGTGAAACCATCTGGCCTGTAAGGATTTGGACTGAATGAGAACTCCACCTTGTGTCTAAAAGACACGTGGTTACTCTGGAACAGTGTGGCTTCCCTCTCTGGAAGTGAGTTGGCCAAAGAACATGGACGATCAGAGGATCAAAGCTAAACTCTGAACAGAATGAAAGGGCTTAGAAGTAATTCAAAGGTGCTTTTCTTTTTCTTTTTCTTTTTTCCAAATTAAAACTATAGTGAGATGCTATGCCACACCCTCTAGAATGGTTAAGATGGAAAAGACTGCGATACTCAAGTGCTGGCCAGGTTGTGGGCCATCTGGCATTCCCCTCCATGGCTGGTGGGACTGTGCTTGCTGACTGGTCTAGAGGTCTAATCCATGGAGCCTTCGTACATGGTCCTGGTACTGCCAAGCACCTCGCTCAAGCTTTTAAGTGATTAGCTTAACCAAGTGGCCAACCCCAGTGATCCTTTCCTATCTAGGCTGGTGGCCCTTTGGCCAACAGCAGCCAGAGCTGCCCAGCCAAGTGAACTCCAGGGGGCTCAGGAAATGACAGTGGTTGTCAGATTCCAGCATGCATCTGAATCACAGGGGCGGTGGGAGGACAGCTTACCAAAACACCCTGCTGAGCCTAAAGCCCGAAGTTTCTGATTCATCGGGCCTGGGTGGGACCCAAGGATTTGCATGAGCTGCAAGTTCCCAGGTGCTTCTGGTCCTGGGGAGCATACGTTGAGGATCAGTGACTCAGAAGGTTACTGGAGAATTGGATGAACACCACCGGGCGGAGTAGCAATGGCCCACTGCTTGGTTTTCCCGCTTTCCTGAAGCCTTCATGGCAACAAAAACTCCCTGTCATCTCCATGGTGGGGTTTGGACGCCCGAGACAAGTACTGGAGGAAAATGTAAATCTACATGAAAGATGACCCACAATGCCAACGGCATGCCTGGGGCACAGGGCTGGGGATGTTACAGAATGCCTGTGCATCTCTCCCATTGCCCCAGCAGCCCTTCGGTGCCATGATCATTGTTTTTACAGAGAAAGAAACGATTGTACCAGGCACCACGACTGCTGTCTAAAGAGAAGGCAGATATCAAAGAATTTTTTTTTTGGTCATGAAAATTAACAATGTCTCAAACTTTGTCATGACTGGTTCTCAGACTGGAGCACTCACGGGAATCCTTTGAGAGGCTTGTCAAAACAGAGGCTCCACATTCTAGAGCTACCAAGACGGCCACGCTGACGACAGTCTTCTGATGACAGCATAGGTCTGGCATCCAGTGATCTCATCAGGGAGATTTTTTTTTTTTTAATATTATCTCCAAATAAAGTTACAAGTTTGGCCACAGGGACACTCTGCTCAAAAAGAACACTGATAACACACATATCTTGTGTGGTTATTAAGAAATAACTCAGAATGAAGGCGTGCGACATAATGTGCTCCTTGGATAACTGTTTGATAGCTTCCAGTGGAGGTGAACATAGGCTCAACCTGTGACCCAGCAAATTTACTCATCAGTATTTACCCCAAAGAAAGGAGAGTCTATGTCCACTGAAAAAAATATCTTTCCAGAAGGCTCGTCGCAACTTTATTGGGTACAACAGGATGTGTCTCAAAAGCTGTGTGTTGAGTGAAAGAAGCCAGGCACAAATGAGATTATTGAGTATTATTTCAAGTATATTGGAAGGTGACCAGACATCCCGCTTTTGGAGAGACAGTCCCATTTTTTAACAATTTGTTCCTTGTCCTGCGGCTTTTTAAAAAAAAAGTCCTGATTTTTGGAAAGATTCTTTTAAAGAAGAAAAGAAAAAGAAGAATTCCTAGAATTGTTTTTCAGCCAATAGGCCTGAGGTTTTCCCCATCAGCATCTTCACCAAACCAATCAGAGGGCTCCATTCTGAGCAGTCAGGACAGTGAGTGCCTTTTGGACCAAACTGGGGGGATGTGCATCAGCATGGACCAGTTGGGGACCTCAGACTGGGACTTCTGTCCATATACGTCAGCTCCCTTCTGGCTCCGAGATGGCACTTTCCCTTTCCGCTGGAGATGGTGTTGACTTGGCTGGAGCTGAAACTGAAGATGAAACGCCTGAGGGGGGCGGGGGGTAGAACAAGAGCACCCCTCAGGGCATCCAAAAGCCATGTGTTGACAACCTCGCTGTTCCCAGCCTTGCTGCTTCATAACTGAGCGGTAACACCCCTGCGCTGTCCCACAGCCATGCTGCTCTCACAACCCAGCTGTATCACCCATTCAGCGGTTTGCATCCATTCAAGTTTCCTTTTTCGCTGTGGATAGAGCATCAGGAAGGTCCCAGGTTCAATTCCGGTCAAGGGCATATACCTTGGTTGCAGGCATGTCTCTGGTGGGGGGAGGGGGTGCAAGTGGCAGCTGATCGATGCTTCTAATTCTCTATCCCTCTCTCTTCCTCTCTGTAAAAAAATCAATTATATATATATATATATATATATATATATATATATATATATATATATATATATTTTTTTTTTTTTTTTAAACCTTAAAGTTTCCTTTTTCACTGAACCCCAACTTGGGGATTCCTGTTGGCATTGAACTGGCAAAACTATACTGCAAAAAAAGCAGAATAGCTTGGTTCCCTGAGGCTTGGCAGAAAAGGGTGTGCTGTGAAGGAAGGCAGACCGAGAAAGAGCACCACGGTACTTTTTTGGGGTACCGGCATGTTCTATTGGTCAATCTGGCTGGTAGTTACACAGGAGTAGACACACAGAAAAGTTAACGGAGCTGCACACACGAAAGGTTTGGCAAGTTCTACTTCCACGAAGTCGGTGCTCTTAGCACACATCTGCACCCACCCACCATCCCAGGGAGCTGGGTCCCAGCTACGGGCCGGCCTTGCCCACTTAGGACGGACCACAGGGCCCCTCCCCGGCTCCGGCGGCCACAGCTGGACGGGCCCCGCCCTCCCACGGCCCGGGGACGCACCCCCGGGCCCCGCCCCGCCCCGCCCCCGGCCGGTCCCGCCTTATCTGGCCCCGCGGCGGCGGCCCGGGGAGGCGGCCGGCGGCGGGCAGGGCCGCGCGATGTCGCACGGAACCGGGCTGGTCCGCACCACGTGCAGCAGCGGCGGCGGCAGCGGCGGGGGCGCGGCGGGGCCCCGGGCGGGCGCGGGCGCGGGCGCCTCGGAGGGGCTGGTGGACCCGGTGTACCCCCGCACCTACGGCGCCCTGCTGAAGGTGGCGCAGATGGTAAGAGGCGGGGCCGCGGGGCCGGGGTCCCCGGGGCGGCCCCGGGAGGGAGGAAGGAGGAAGGGAGGAGTCCGAGTCCCGGGACGGGCGCGGCGGGTGCCTGGAGCCTGGAGCCGACGGGGACGCGCAGGAGCATCGCGCCTCGGGCGGGTGGGAGGAGGGAGCCTTCCAGCCGGAAAGTTTGCAGCCTGTGCAGCCCCCGCCCCGGGCCCCGGCTTCCTGGGACCTCCCTCCAGGTCCCCAGTGGCTCCAGCCGCCCCTGTGCGCGGCCTCCCGCCCCCTGTTGGAAACGCCGGCAGAAGTTCCCTGGCGGCTTCCTCTCCGCCGGCCACCGCTCGAACCCGAGTCCGGGGCGGGGAGGGGGGAAGAGGGAGGCGGAAGAGCCGCCCGGGCCGCGGCGCTGAAGCTGCGAAACCCGACCTCCCCGCGGCCCCGGCCTCCGCCTCCCTCCCTCCAGCCGCGCTGTGCGCGCTGCGCCCCGGCGGGCTGGGGGGAGCAGCGGGCCCCTGGGCCCCTGCCCACGCGCGTCCAGAGGGAGGGCCCCGGTCTCGGGGCGGGGAGGGGGGGACCGTGGAAGGCAGATGATCCACGAGGAAGGCCTGTTGTTGAGGAGTCCGTGCTTATTTTGGGGGGACCACCTGTGGAGCCACGCAGGACGAAGGTGGCCGGGAGGGTGGCCAGCGCAAGGGCCTTCCACCCGGGGCGGATGCTGGCCAGCCTGCCCTCTTGTTCTCCACTCTTTTCTCGCTTCCATGTTTTTCTTCTTAAAAAAAAAAAAAAAAGTTTCTGTCTTACAACCCCTTTCCCGTGGGCTGTGTTTTGAAACTGGGCTGGGCTGTGGGTGACTCCAGCCATGGTCATGTTTGCAGCGAGAGCGGTGATGGGGGGGTGGGGGGGAGCTGGTCGTTTTGCAGAGGAGCCCGGGGAAGGGCGCCGGGCCCGCTCAGGGGGACCAGCCCAGGGGGAGAGCTGCCCCGCGTGCATAGCTCTTACTCTGGGATGTGGAGAGGGGTCTCTCGTTTCCTGCCGGGGCCTTCTCTGGAGGGAAGGGGGCCGAGTTCCGTTTCCTCTAAGAAGGCTTGTCTTGGCGGGCCAAAAATTAGGAAGTAGAGGCAGGTTAGCCGCCACGAGCAGAAACCAAACCAAACCGAACAAACAAACAAACAAAAAGTACTAAGTAGTGTTGATTTTGAGCATGGCTTGTTGTTGTTGTTCAGATTAAGAGAGCTGATCCGCCAACCAAAGGGGACCAGTTTACCTCCCATCCTTAAAAGATGGGGGGGGGGGGGGGGAGGAAGGACAGGCTCACCTGAGCCCTGGGAGGCATGCATGTGTCGAATGATGGTGGACAAAGGTTGGGTCAGAGGCCTCCGTGGACTCTTGGTCTGTGAGGGTGATGGACAGAGGTAACGGGGAGGAGAGGCTGTGGTTGATAGGAGTCTGGTGGACAAAACATGGGAGAAGGGAAATATCCATTTCATTTCTTTTTTTCTTTTTAAATAAGCTCCTCCCTCGGTAGCTCTCGCCTGTGGCCCTTGGGCCAGGTTGCAGGTGGCATTGATGGGGTCCGGTCCAAAGAAGAGAACAAAGGCTTGGAGAGTGGCTGCTCTGTGTGCCCCTCACAAAAGCGTGCCCTGGGGATTGCCTCGCCTTCCTTCCTTCCCTGGGGAACTCCCCGAGGCTGCAGGTTGGTCGGAGCAGATCCCCGGGGAGTGAACTGGCCCTTGCAGAGCTGTCCTATTACCACAGAGAGACTAGGACTGTCTCCTTGGCCTCTTGCCTAACTCCTCCCCATTCTCCTCCTCCTCCTCCTCCTCCTCCTCCTCCTCCTCCTCTTCTTCCTCCTCCTCCTCCTCCTCCTATTTTTCTGGGGTACCTGCTTAGGTGTTTGATGTTCCCTTGTCTTCTTGGTTGGAAAAATGCATAACCACTGTTTCACGTTGGGGGAGAGCAGAAACAGCTAAAATGCTCCGCCCTTTGGGCATGCTCTGGGTCTCGTTTTGACCATGGATGTCTCACTTGTATCCTGAAGAGGCTGAGCTGAGCCTTCTGTCCTAAACTTCCTCTAAAGTAGGGGTGTCGAACTCAATCAGAGAAGGGGCCAAAATCTAAAATCCAGCCTAAATCGCGGGCCGAATGGTTTACTGAACAGTCATAAACTGTCATTGTGATGGAAACGCAGCGGAGTGCAGTGATGACAGCGCGGTGCGGGCCACATTGCAAGGCCTGGCGGGACGGATTTGGCCCGCGGGCCTTGTGTTTGACACATGTGCTCTAAAGGGTTTCATCTCGGTCTGTCAACATGTTACCTTAAGAAATCATTGACACCCGGCTGGCGTGGCTCAGCAGTTGGGCGTTGACCTAGGAACCAAAAGGTCACAGTTCCATACCAGTTTGATTCCCGGTCAGGGCACATGCCTGGGTTGTGGGTTCGATCCTCAGTGGGAAGCATGCAGGAGGTAGCTGATCAATGATTCTCTCTCATCACTGATGTTTCTCTCTCTCTCTCCCTCTCCCTTCCTCTCAGAAATCAATAAAAAACACACCACACATATAAAAACAAATTGCAGACAAACATTAAGTGACATAAGAAAACATCTCTATATATAAAAGCCTAAGCGACTAGACCACTGGATGGTAGCTATGATGCACATTGACCACCAGGGGGCAGACACTTGATGCAGGAGCTGCCCTCGGATGGTCAGTGCGCTCCCACAGGGGGAGCGCCACTCAGCTGACCATTGGGTGCCAGATGCCAGGCTCATGGCTGGCAAACGCAGCTGCAGCAGGGCGAGCCTCTCCCGCCTCCTTGGCTGCGCTACCAAGCCCACGGGGAGTCCCTAGGAAGAGGGGTGGGAGTGGGGGCGTTGGGGGGCGGGGGGCCTGACCTGCCTGGGGGATAAAGAAGGGCTTCTTCCAGTAAGAGATGCCTGAAGGATGAGGGAACAGCATTACCAAAAGGATCGCTCATGTGGTAGCACGTGTCAGCACTTCACTCCATTTTCTGCCGAGTAACATTCCGTTGTATGACCATGCCACATTTAACTCAGCCAGTCACCAGGTGAGAGACATCCGCGTTGTTTCTGCCTTTTGGCTGTTATGAATAATGCTGCCGTGAACCTCCCTGGACACATTTTTTTGTGTGTGTGGACATGCTTTCATTCCTCCTAAGCAGATGATACCTAGGAGTGAAATTACTGGATCATATGGCAACTCTCTGTTTCACAGTCTGAGGACCTAATTGCCGAGAGGGTTTGCCACGGTGGCTGTATCTACCGGACGGTCCCACCGGCAGTGTGGGATTCTGATTGCTTCCCATCCTCCACATTCCTGCCGCTTGGTCGTATGTCTTTTTGACTGCCACCACCCTATTCAGAGTGGCATCTCACTGTGGTTCTGATGTCCCTAGATTCGTTAATAAGCAATAACGCTGCAGTCTTCTGGGGACAGGAGCCAGTCAAGCTTGGGTTGTCCCCACCTCTGCTGCCAACAGCTGTGTGACTTCGGTACCTCAAACTTCTGGCCGGTTTCCTCATTTGTCAAACACGTCACTTCACTGGATTCTCAATAGCACACACACACACACACACACACACACACACACACACACACGGTATACAGTGTGTAATGCCTAGCCTATTACTGAGAATAGTAGGATCAAAAAATACAGCTGAGAATAGTAGGATCAAAAAATACAGCTAACAACAGCAAAGCAGTCCCTTAGAGCCCACAATTGTGACTGCATCTCTAGTCTAAAGAGGAAAACCACAAAGCACTAGGCCCGTGGTTCTCAACCTTCCTAATGCCCTGACTCTTTAATACAGTTAGTTCCTCATGTTGTGGTGACCCCCAACCATAAAATTATTTTCGTTGCTACTTCATAACTGTAATTTTGCTACTGTTGATGAATCGTAATGTAAATATCTGTGTTTTCCGATAGTCGTAGGCGACCCTGCTAGCGGTTCTCAACCTGTGGGTCACCTAGCAGGGTCGCCTAAGACCATCGGAAATAATAAGTAGCAATGAAAATAATTTTATAGTTGGGTGTCACCACAACATGAGGAACTGTAGTAAAGGGTCGCGGCATTAAAAAGGTTGAGAACCACTTCTCTAGACCATCATGGGGACAGGATTACAAGGATTCACTGAAATGACATGTCAAGTGTCAATGTTCACACAGAAACTCACTTCCTATTTTTTCTCACTTTTCTCATTTTCTGATAGTGGTGGCCCAGGAGAGCCCCAACACAAAGAAAGGAAGCTGTTCTCCAAAGAGCCTTTTCAATGACTTTTAAGAATATATATATATATATATATATATTTTTTTTTTTTAATTGATTTCAGAGAGGAAGGGAGAGGGAGAGACAGAAACATCCACGTTGAGCATCACTGATTGGCTGCCTCCTGCATGCCGCACACTGGGGGACCAAGCCCACAACGCGGGCATGTGCCCTGACCGGGAATCAAACCGGGACCTCCTGATTTCACAGGTTGACACTCAACCACAAAGCCACCGCGGCAGGGCTGCAATTTGTTTTTTTTAACTACGCTACTGTAGCCAGTCATGCATGTACCATGGTGTGCATGACCAGTCTCCTCCCCCCCCCCCTTTTTGTGGCTCAAGGAGCTTCCAGTTGTGTCCACGTCCACACAAGGCTGCAATGAACTTTCCTGCAGAGAGGTCCTCGTGCACAAATCCATAAAATCCACAGCGTAAAAGGCAGTGACCTTTCGCAGAGGGAGACACGGAGGGCTTCTCGCCCTTCCGAGCAGGATGGCATTCAGCAGTGGTCTCGACCCTTTAACATCTAGAAATTAATGCGTGTCCTTTTATCAGCCAGACATTTCCAGGAGCCAAATGGGGTAGAAATCATGTTTTAAGTCGTCATAGTCTGTTTGGCGTCCGATGACTTGGAAAGGGAACAGGGACATGGACAGGCTAGGAAATTCCGCAGTGCTGTTAAAGGCACTTGCTTTTAAAAATATATTTTATTTTGTAT